GGGGGAGGGAGGGAGGCGCGTCCGTACGGAGAAGAATGTCGCCATATGGGGCCTATCGCACGTGGTAGGGGATGCAGGAGGACGAAGGAGAGGGTAAGACGGGTACGGTCTCAACGACGTGAGACAAGAAATGTGAGCCCAGGAAAGACAACTCGAACGTGCGGATTTCTGGTGAGAAACAGAGCATGTCGTGCCGTTGCAGGTCCTTGGAAGCTAACGTGAGCAAGCGCGTCACCAGGGCTCTCCCTCTCACCAGTATTTGAAGCAACGAGGCCCTGTCCGCGGAGGCGTCGTGTCCGTATTGCAGTGCCTTCTTTCGCAATTCTTCCGTGGGCATTGCCTCCAACGACTTACTGGGCCTAACCGAGCTCGAGATAGTGGATGCGGCATCCGCTCGAGAAAGGTCACTGGCGGTCAGAGAGTGGCCATGAGCATGGAAGGTTTTTGATGGAGGTGTGACAGTTTTCTCACCGCCACGCCCCATTCTAGAGAAAGGTGAGTTGGAAAACCTGTCTAAAGATACATTGTAGGGTTGTGGTCGTTGATACGGGTCAGGATACAAGGTCAGGGGCAATGAATCCATCTCGCTTCATTTTACTCCTCGGGTGGAGGCGATCTATAAAAATGTTCCGCTTACGTGGCTCATGAATTCCAACCACCCAAGAAGTAATCTAAACGTCATCAACAGATTAATGAAGTCACAATTTCCTTACATACGTCAAATACACGTATGGCAAGACCTACAAGGCCAGCTCCTTGTTAGACGTGTTGCATAACACAAGGTACGGGTGCGGCGATGAGCAGGGCGGGCTGACGGGGAACATGAAAGCGTCTGGCTCTGGTTTTCTTCTGGTTGCTCAACGTGAACACATGCACGCACCGGCCCAAGAAATCCACCACGAACCGCCCCCACGTGAGACTTTCCGCCTTTTTGCCCACCATGGACGGCGGGATGGAGCGCCGTCGCAAGTGTAAGACGGACCCAACTCCTGCCTAGACGGCCACGGGACGTGCCTCGCTGGCAACCGCCCAGATGATGACGAACAGGCGCGTCAGCTGACGCGTGCCGAGCCAGTTGGGACCTTCGGACGGTGGGGGGGTTGTACTTCGGAAAGGGGAGTCATCTCCTTGTACCGTGGCCAGGGCTGCGTTCATGTTCTTTCCGTACCGTTGTAGACGCCTTTCGACGCTGGTTGCTCCTAGGTTGCTGGATGGGGCATCGTGTAGACCATGGCTCGCCAGTTCTCATTACGCCCCCCATCATAGTAGCGTCTAAAAGGAGCGTTGTCTCGTAATAATTGAGAAATCGATCAATGCACGGCGCAGTACCGATGCCCGTCAGAACCTGCAGAATTGTTTTTGTGTACAACCGATACTATTCATACATTGGGAACTCGTTCCTGAGGGAACACGGGTGGAAAATCTCCCAACTGGCTCTACCGCTTTTTATATTTCTTTCCTTCTTTTGTCGAACATCGGGAGGCAAAATTTTGCATTTAAATATGTGTTCTTTCAACTTATCACTCTTATTTCACCCATGTGTCGTGAGTGTCAAGGAAAGTCCAGGCGTCATGCATGTTATGTGTAATCTATACGACACACATTCGACCTCGCCTCGCACATTTACTCTCCCAGTTCCTTTTTCCTCCGCCAAGAAAATGAGCCTTTTCCTGCTAGCATTTTTAAAGCATCACATCGTCGTCACCTAGTCTGCTTCGCGACTTCCCACCAACGACCCTTTCCTATATCTACACAGTTCCCCTTTTTCGTGCCACAAACCATTTGCACCCAACCCCACACTGACACTCACATCGTCACGGGCTCCATCAATTTTTTCAACAAAATATTGAATTTATCCTCCGTGTCTTTCCGTAGCGGCAGCTGCCAATTGCCAAACAGCAAATCGCCAATCTCCTTGGCAATGTTGGTAGTGCTGCTCGGGCGACTAGCTTCCAGGGCCTTCTTGCTCATCTTCTCCCGCACCTCCTCGCTCATCAGCCACCCCGACACCACCTCCCCGATCGCCTTCGGGTCCTTTTTGTAATCACCAAAGCCATTTTCCACCACAAAGGGCACGTTCCCTTCTTCCTGTCCGGGCAGGTAGTTAAAAAGCATCACGGGCAGCCCCCGAGTACTCGCCTCCGCAATCGTCCCTGGCCCGGCCTTGGTGACGATGCAATCCGACGCGCCCATCCAAGCATCCATATTATTTACAAACCCCTTGACCACCACATTCACGCTCGGGGGCCACGTCCGCCGCTCCAAATTCCGCCGCATTTCCTCGTTCTTCCCACACACCACCACCACCTGGCTCTTCTTCCCCCCGGATCCCCCAGCCGCCAGCGCCGAGGCAAGGCTCTCCGTGATCTCCAACAGGTTTCCTATCCCGTCCCCACCCCCCACAACCAGCGCCGTCCTCACCCCCGTGGCCAAACCCAGCTCCCTGCGCAACTGCCCTTTATCCTTCCCCGCCTTCCAAAAGCCTGGCCGGATCGGCAGTCCGTGCTGTCGGATTTGATCGTGTTTCAACCCCATGGCCAAGGCAATCTTTCGAACTGGGTCCGAGGGAACGAAGCAAAGGTCCACCTCCTTGTGAAACCAGGTCGGGTGCGCGCCTCCCAGGTCGGTGACGACGGTCACGAAAGGAATTTGACGCTTCCCGCGGCCCAGCGTGTTCAAAACCCGCAGGGGCACATCCTGACAGAGGGGGTGCACCGAGATGATCAGGTCCGGGTCTTGGTCCTCAATGCAGTCCTTGAACCGGTGGTGACAAGCCAGGTTCGACAGCTCCTCCGTGCCCCATTTGGAAGGGGGAAATTTCCCGTACTCCCAGAACGCCTTCCAGTAGAGGGGGTTCTTGGCCATGAACTGATAGGCCGGCACGAATCGATTGTAGGGCCAGGGAGCGAAATCCGTCCAGATATCCACGGTCGTGCACTCGACCTGGTTGGGAAAGAGCTCGTTGAAAGCGGCCTCCAGAGCCTGGGCCGACGCCCGGTGCCCGCCCCCGGTATCGGACATGAGGATCAACACCTTCTTTTTCCGCTTCTCACTCGTGCCCGCCACCCCCGCCGCCCGCAGTGGCATGCTCCCACCTTCACCCCCCCCTAGGGCCACCTCGATCCCCCTCGTGTCCGTGGGGATGCCTGGGGGCAGGAAGGAGAGGATGCCACCGTCCCTGGCCATCGTCTCGCCCGAGGACCAGGCAGCGTAGGTGGACGACAAGATTCTATACGTGTTCGAGGAGGATGCAGGCCCTCCCGGCAAGCTGGGAGCTGCCGTTTCTCCAGGAGCCGGGCTTGTTGTCCTGGAGCTGATCCCTCCCCGACGAAACGCCGAGAATAGGCCTCGCCATCCCCAAAAGGCCCTTCCTTGGTCTTGTCCCTCGATACCCGTCGTGGAGGCCGCGTTGCAGACCAGCATGCGGACATTCCCACTCCGTCTGCCCCCACTACTGCTGCTGCTGCTGTGGTGGTACAAGGCACTAACGCCGTTTAAAACGCTGGCCAATGGCACGGAGGAAGAAGAAACGCTGGCAGCTGCTGATGTTGCCGCGGCTGCTGCGGTCGCGCTCCGAGGAATGAGTACCCCGCTATTTTTCATCATCAAACGATTGGTAGCGATCAATTGTGGTCCTCCTGGTGGTGGAGCGACGAAAGGATTGTGTGTGGTGGTGTAGAATTTCAGGCCGAAGACGGCAGCAGTCGGGAGAAGGAGAAGGAGGACTAAAGGCAGGACTCTTCGCATGAGCCTACTGCGGGCGGAGCCCGTGGTCGGCATTCTGATGCTGATTTTGGGGACCCTAGCTATCTAAACTGCGGCGAAAATGTTGGAGGAAGCTTGAAGGTTTTTAAAAACGGGCGCAATTGCTCGCTTCAGCAGTCCACACTAAGCTACTCCGCCTCCAGCTCACGAGGAGAAATCCTACTCCTGCCAGAGAGGAAAAAGGGTGCAAGAAAACGTGAGTATGAAACCTTGGACCTGGCCAGTATTGATAAAATGACATACGTTTTCCTTAGTCCGCAGGCAAGGAGTCTTGAACTGACGGAGATGCATTGGCGTCGAAGGCTCGGAGGGGGCTGGCATGCATTCGTTGTTTCAAGTTGAAAGTCAAGAGGAAGAGCCAAATATAATCCTGATTTAGTACCCCGCCAATACACTGTCCACCCGAACTCAGTGCACGCGGACTAGGCTCCGTGCATTTCAGCACATGGAATACACCTTTCCGCCACCGCGATGTGGGTTACTGGACGTGAATGCTTTCTATGGCTTTGATTTTTAGAGGTGTGGTGGTGAGGCGATCGGGAGACGCGTCGATCACGGAAGACACGAGGGAGAGCTTAGCTAGCTCCAGGGTGCAAACGTCGGCTGAATTTTTTCTTTTCCATCACATCCTGGAACGGATTTTATGGAGATTCGTTTTTAATGTTTGTTTCGTCAAGTTCTTGCGATTTCATGCGGTTGATCGCCTGATTGCCAGCTCTTCAAAAGCATGAAAGGCCTGCCCTGTTCATAGGTTCTCGGCCCACTTGCTTCAAAGCGTACCGTAGAGAGGTTCGTGAAGAACAGGATGGGAAAAATAGAAGTTTATATTCACAGTTGTAGTAGGTGCATCATGTCCATGCTAAGAATTCTCGTTACCGCTGCAAAGGGGGTAAAAGTGGCCGGTGGAGGTCTTAGGGTACCTCGGCAAAGCCCTTGTGGGACCAATGATAATGTCTGTCTTTAGCAAGGATATGAATACGTGCGAGCTAACACACAACGAATTTATGAGTGCCACGACATCCTATCTTACAACTGGGATTTTGCAGGTACCGTCACGTACGTACGTATGGTTAATTGCTATACAAATAACGGGACGGATGGCAACAGAGGGTGGGACTATTGCCAAGACCTTTAAGACTTCGTGTATTATTGGCTATCAAACGCGCGCTAATGTTTCTGTATCCCGTAGCGCGCGTGCGATAGCCAATATTACACGAAGTCTTAAAGGCCTTGGCAAGAATACCAATCTCTGTTGCCATCCGTCCCATCATCTTTTGATAACGCTGAAACTTCCCTTGCTTGGTTACCTTCGGATACATATTGCCTGTGCCCTCGATCCTCGTCAATATCTCTCTTTTCACTGAGTGCACGATTATATTAATATTCCTTGATATTTCTATACGCAGCTTCAATCAAGGCATTGTCAAAGATCGGACTCGCGCGCTTCCTGGAATGCGACGGCCTTTACTGTAGCAATAGACTTAGGACTGTCTTAGCATTGAGAACCTGTAGTTAATTGTCAAGCTCGTCATTTTTTAGACACCCCTGATACCTGTATTCGCGATTTCGTATTGCATGGGCCTAGTCATTTGATTTTATTTATTCATTACTGCTCATTGTGGGCGCATTGTTCATCAGCGCGCACACATTAGACCTAAAACGCTTAGACGATCATTGTTGATATTTTCCTTTCAATCCAAAAATATTAGGAACCGTTGAATTTCTTCGTTTTAATTAGTAATTTTAAAAGTCCAAGCGATTACAGATTCTGCAAAGAAATTCTGATGAGATTTAAGCAATGTATGCTCTGATGGCATCACATTGGCGAACGCGTGGTTGCAATTCAAATGTATACCATTCCACCTGTGGATGTCGGATTACGTCTTATCCCTTTCTCATAATTTTTTTCGACGTATGCATCAAAATTGTGCTCCTCTATTCATTTGTTGAGGACAAATTACTGGTTATGCTTGAAATGAGGCGGGTGCCGTGTCAGGTTTGAGTGCGTATCGACGCACCGCAAAATCCACCACACACTTAATTAAGACATATGACGTCTTCTTCAACAGCTTCTCGTCTCTGCAATCAAAATGTTTTGAGAGAAAGGTATTGTAATCTTCGTCAGTGACCGTCTCAACTAAAATGTCTGATAGTGTTTTAGACCTGAGTCGGGCTGCCAAGGCCTCGAGTCCAATATTGCGCAGAGAGACCTCAACATCCCTACTAGTGGTGTACAACCAAAGTTGAGCAACCATTTCTTTGTTCAAACAAGCATTAAGAAGTGTATAAAGTCGATTCCCCATCGCAGAACACCTGTCAAAAATCATATACCGGGATGAAATGCGAAAAAGGGATGAAAAACTTGTAGGGGACCAATTCGTTCATTTTCTTATTCGACAAATAAGCTCTATTGGAAAGAATTTGGATAGTGTATCCCCTTTCCTCCTCTCATTGTCGATTAAAATATCGTAATGCTCGGATAACAGTACTTATATGCTTCCGAAATGAGACCAGCCTTCAAGCCCTCACCCTTTCGAAATGCTAGGGAGGGAAATAGTGATAAGTGCGTTTCTTTTCTGGTATCCAAAAATCACCTCAAACACCTCATACACTTTCAGGAAAATGATAGCATTGTTTTTAAAACGCCGGGGAGCAGGGTGCGACAGAGAGAATCCGGCTTTCACAAACGGCTGATAACCGTGGAAACGGCTTGCTTCGCGAGTGTTCCCAGGGGCCCATCTTGCATTGTCTATGCCGCTTCAGGTTAGCTTTCAATATTGTAATTTACTGCCTGTCGCGTGATACCGCTGTACCAAACATCGAAACTAAGACTTTAACGTATGACATGTCAAGCCGCAAGATATCTTTGATAGGTGGGTCTAAGAACCAAAAGGACGCAGAAGAGGCCCCCTCCCTTCGCAATTTTCTTCTCGTGGCGTCCATGGCAGATTTCCTTTCTCATGAATTTCTTCATTTACAAAAGGAGTTGAGACAAGTCATTCAGTCTCCACTGCCATGCCTGTGCTTCCCTCACCGTCGTCTACCCCAGCCGCAGCTAGCTGCTTTTTGAGCGCATACACCATGGTACTCAACAACCCTCTTTCTTCGTCTAAATCCTCCGCTCTTGCCTTACTTTCCTCTAGCTGTTCCTGCAAAATCGCAATTTGTTTTCTAAACGCCCCTTCAAGTCCGTCCTCCCCTGTCCCTTTCTCCATCTCTCCCAGCCGTCTGGCCAAAGACTCATTTTCTTGCTGCAGTCGGCGACATTTGTTCAAGAGCGCTTCTCCGGTGGCGCTTTCAGCAGAAAAGTGCCGTGCCTGAGCATCCTCTTTCAAAATTTTTTCGGACGCTTCCAATTCTGCGATCTTTTCGCGTAATAAGCGCAACTCCATAGCTACGCCAGGGTCGACCAGCACTTTCCTTCCCCACGCCTCAGGTGGACTTTGGAAGACCCTTAATTCTTGAATATGGCGGTGCAACTCCAAAATTTCCGCGTCTTTTTCCTGAAGCTGATGAACGTACACTTGTTCACGATTTTGAAATCCGACGAGCCTACCCTCAGCGGAAAGGAGGGCTTTTTGAAGAGTGGGAACATCCGTAGGGAGAGATGGGGGCGCCGGGATAGCATCTTTTCTTGGTACGCTGGAAGCGGTCAAAACTGGCTGGATGTCAGGTGTAGAAGATCTAGCAGCTTTGTAATATATTTCCTGTTGCGACGGTTGAAGAGAGTTAGAAACCCATGAAATGAAACTCTCAGCACGCCGTACAAGTGATGTTGTACTTTGTAGAAGCCTTCCTCACCGGCAATTCTTCGTCTTCCTCTGCTTCCTCATCATCATCTGCGCTTAGAGCTGCCAAAGCCACCGTGTTCTTGTGGCTAGTCATCGTGGTGGACAGATGTACCCAGCAAATATTGTCCCGGAGTCTTTCCTTTGGGGGGGAGGTAGTAGTAAGCCTACTGCGACCAAAAGTTATAGAGGAAACAAACCTGCAACAACAGTACCAGCACATCAACATTTGAATGCCAGCACATTCCAGGAAAACTTAAAAAGAAAACGTGAACCGGCGTTCCAACCCCGTGTGCCCGTGGCATTGCGTCCTTCTCTCGGTCCCAAAACCCAAGCCTGTGACTCCCGGGGCCGGGCGGGAAAAGATGATTTAAATTCCTGGCCGTTAACGCAAGGAGGGAAAGCTCCTACGCCCGGTTGCCGGGGGGCCACCATGGCCCTGATTGCGCCGTATTCCTCTGCGTTCCAGTCTCTTGCTTCGACTGGGTGGGTTATGAGCCCAGAGAGGGGGCTGTGCCTTGTCGAGGGCGAATTTCTTTGTTTTTAAGTGTAAAGTCCACGCAAGGTGGAATCCTCCTCACCCACCTTAAGGCGGTCACCAGAACCCCTATACACCCCGATTCCACAAATTATGCTCTGACACTTCTTTTTTCACACGTTTTGATAGATAACTGCTTTATCTACCCACTGGCATGGACCACGCAAGTTTTCGTCCCGCTCTTGGTGGCGCTCCCCGCCGGCGAGCATCCATGGCACCAAGCGCGTCCTCCTTGACGTTATTGTCCAGTGCTAGCGGCAACTTCACTCCTGTCCCAACCACCACTGCAATAAAAAGCATTCTCAAGCCGTCTCAAGTCCAGCCTCGTCGCGATTCTTTGGCCGTTCCGTCGCGGTTGACTGTCCACCAGAATGTTCACGTCACGGCAGGGGCACAGGCTCCCAAAGCCGAGCCCCGCCTCCCCTTCCATCGTTCCTCCCGCAAACAACATCGCCGACCGGAGCCTCAGCCATCATCTACAGACCAAGAAAATCTGACTAGTGCTCCCCTTTCCAAACATGCGGCGTCCATGGGCGTCCACGCTGCCAAACCGCACCTCTCGACCGGGAACGTGGCAGTTCCCACCCACGCGTCTCTGAAGACGCCTTCCCACAAGAAGGCCACTGCCAAGCTGGGAGGCACCGCTGGCAAGGTCTCTTGCGCGACGCCGCAGCGGTTGCAGCAGGATGCGAGTACGATGTGGACCCGTTTGCGTCAAGCCTTGGCTCGGGCAGAAGGAGAAAGCGAGCGCTTGACCAAGATGGCAATCCAGGAGCCTTCCAAGCAGGGAGGGAGCCAGCGTGGGAATGCACGGCCGTCGGCGGAAGTTCTGGATATGTGCCGACGACTGGTGGCAGCCACCGACGATGCAGTGAAAACTCTTCACCTACTCTTTCCTGGAGCGAGTTTTGAGGACCGGAGAGAGGGGCGAGAAGGGAATGAAGGAGGGGAGGCGGAGAAAGCGTTGCCTCAAAGCGATGCGACAGATGTGGGAGCGGGGCGGCATCCTTCCATCGTCGAAGAAGAAGAAGGTGAGGAGGAAGCAATGGAGGATGGGAGTTTGGAGGAGAGTTTGGAGGAGGGGGAGATACGCGAGAGTCCGGGGCACTCGGGGGGTGCGTCGAAGGGGAATCTGGCGGCTGCCTCTGAGACAGAGAGCGGCGCAGGGACGTCAACAGCGGAGGGACTGACGGAGCAAGATGATGCGACTGAAAGGAGTGCGCTGCAAAGGCTCGTGGAGGAGGTAGGGGAGCAATTGAAGCAAGAGGAAGAGAAGGAAGAAAGGGGGACGGGGGCGATCGTCTCGCCGGACCGAGGGGGCCGGGCGGGTGACGGGATCGAGGACGAGACAGTCAGGAAGGAGGAAGCGGGCGAGGCCGCAGGGGAGGACGACGGGATGGGGAAGGAGAAGGTGAGAATGGTGGTGGAGGAGGGAGAGGCGTCAGAGCCTGGGGCGCGCAGGCCGGGAGGGAGGGACCTGGAGAGTCCGCCCACCATGGCGGACCTTGGCTTGTCGCAGTTCACCCGCCGTTTCATCGAGACAGCCAAGGAGGGGACCTGGGGAGAAGGGAAAGGAAGGGAGAGCGCCAGGAAGGAGAGCAGCCGGGAAGCAGACGCCTCCTCTCAGGAACTCAGCCCTTCCTCCCCCACCTTGCCCCTGGAGAGAGGGGCGGCAGCGGCGGCCACGGGACCCAAGACGCCCGTCATCGTCATGCCCACCGCCCAAGGCGTGCGTGAGTTTCCTTCCCCCGTCTTCCGCACGGGAGTCAAGCTCAGGCACCCTACAGGGTCCACACCCGGGACCCGTCCTCGCCCAAACCACCTAGGCGCTTCCTCCCACTCCTCCTCCACTTCCTCCTCCTGCCGCTCTCCCAACC